GTAGAAGTAGAAGTGGCAGTAGCTGTAGCAGTAGCTGTAGCAGTAGTAGTAGTAGTAGTAGTAGTAGTAGTAGTAGTAGTAGTAGTAGTAGTAGTAGTAGTAGTAGTAGTAGTAAAGCGCCACGAGCGGTTCAAATCATGGGGGGGGACTTCCAAGCATGGCGCTGACCTGCGTAGTGCATCTCAGAGCGTGGGCTGTCGAAGCAATAACGCAGATTCTGGAAGCTGAAAGCGAGGAGACAGTAAACTGGGCCACAGACTTGGGCGTGGCGCTACTGCAATCCCTGACGCTTCCAGAGCTGTTTCTGGCAGTACACGACATTCTACCGCCGCTGCACTTTGAACGTTTTCTACATTTCAGTGTGTGCAACTACGAGGTGGAAACAATAACTGCACTGGATCAAATCATGGCAGGATATGCAGGCCATGAGCACCGATCTTTTATCAACCAGCCCCCCCCGAGTGCATGAAGGAGTCCGGGGTACAACTGCACCACAGACGATCATCGCTCCGGACCAGTGCTCGTCTCGGTCCCAAGTCCGAGCGACGCTGCAAACCACGATAGAGGATTGTTTCTCAAAACCGTCGGGCGTGAGGGTTTCCATTGCCACCCCTGGCATGGTTGAAGCCACCTCGGTGGCAAAGCATGGGGAAGGAAGGCTACTTTCGATCACAGATGACCCTCAGCAAGTTCGCAAACGCTCGCTGCAGAGGGCATTGAAGCGCGCAGTGACTACGGGGAAAGCAATCTACCAAGGAAGACCACTGAAGGTCTGGAGCGCACCGCATCCTCAGCCGTGCACCAAGCCAACTCCAAGCAAGATGCAGCCGGGACCGGAACGGATCCAGTGCATACACTGGAACTGCGGAGGACTATCCGAGGAGCTGAAAGCCGAATGGTTTACATGGCTTCGGCATAAGCCGGAAGTGCGAATCTTCACGCTGGTTGAGACCCACTGGAGCTTCAGCAACTCCTACATTTCCGAGGAGTGGCACATCACGCACAGTGCCAAAGCCAAGGGCAAAGGCGGGGGCGTCATGATTGGCGTTCGCAAGGACTGCGTAGATCTGCAATCCATCAAGTGGAGGGAAATCATCCCAGGACGTTTGCTTCATTGGAGAGGTGTGATTGGTAAACAACAAGTGGACATTGCTGCTGTGTACCAGACGGCCATTAGCTTCGTGAGCGGAGACCCTCAACAGGATCTCATGGCAGAGCGGAAGCGGCTATGGAGCAGCCTGGACAGTCTACTGTCAGGCCTTCCTTTTCGAAGTTCCATCCTCCTGGCGGGCGATCTGAACCTCACGCTCTCGCCTCTTTCTGAAGTGGCAGGGCATGGCATCATGCCTGGTTCTAACGCCGCTTGGCTTGTTAAAGAAAGGGAAGAGCAAATGCTCGTGTTTAAGAAGCATAGACTAGTAGCACTCAGCACTTGGCGACGGCCAAATCATACCTACCACCACCCCAATGGCAAATCGCAGATCGACTACATCATGATTCGTAGACAGATGGCTGATAAATTTCCAGACACTGTTCTACAATGTCTTCCCCCATAGCAGCCTGGCGGTCGTCGGGGCACCGACCTCTACATGCCACCATCAAGATGAACTGGAAGCCGTGGCAGGGGACACAGACGCGCAAACCAGCGCCACCACCCCCCGCAGCTGACATCGAGTTGATTTCTTCGGAGGCCCAGCCGTCACTGTCAGAGTTGCAGCGTGCTGTTAAACAACAGTTGGAAGCACCACGTGAACTGCAACCCAAGCCTAAGCTGCGGAATGTGGATCAAGAAGTTCTTGCAGTCTGGAGACAACACAAATATCAGAATAAGCAGATTCTGAATCAACGCGTGCCTATCGTGGATGAAGCTGCCATTGAAAAGGCCGCCAAGGAGGCCAGACGCAATCTCCGAAAGATCACTAGGGCCCGGAAAAGACAACAGCTGCTTGAAACACTGCAAGCTGCGGAGACTGCCTTCGATGAGAAGAACATGCGCACACACTTTCAGCTGATTCAGCAGCTGGCTCCCAAAGCATACCGACGCAAATTGTGCCTCCGCTCCAACACAGGCGCCTTGCTGTCCAACGTACAAGAATGCAATTGGCTAGCGGAGTACACCCGAGAGCTCTTCCATGATGAACCTTTTGATCTGCCACCCTTACTCCCCGTTGAACAAGGCTGGTTCGAAGAGTCTAATTGGGTCAAGGCCTTAGCACGCATCAAGGCCCACAAAGCGGTACCACAGGGATCGGCAGACATCGTTAGCTGGAAAAGACATGCAGCTGAACTTGCAGTCCCCCTATCCAAGATAGCGATGAATGCGCTGACAGTGGACAACCCAGCAGTACCCATGGAATGGTCCATGGTGCAGATGGCATGGATCCCAAAGCCTGGAAAGGCACCCACGGAACCCAGCAATCTACGCACAATTGGATTGATGGGTGCAGACTCGAAGGCCTTCCTGATGATCCTCAAAGACCAAGCAACGCCGTGGATTCAGCAGGCGCTACGGGACACACCTCAGTATGCTTACCGCCCCATGGCTTCTACTTGCGATGCGCTTCTTCGGGGCTCCAAGCATTGCGTGACTGTTAGAACAGCGCTTGCAGGTGTTCTGGACGATCACACGTCCAGGGTCCTCCAGACGGGAAGGGCACAGCTCCTTGGCGGAATCATGGTGAGCTTGGATCTTTCTAAGGCTTTTGACAAGAAAATACTCCGAAATGCATACATCATTGCGCGAGACGGGCATGCCAGAAGAGTTGAGCAGGCTAATCATGCATGTGCATGTCAACACAGAGTTGCAGATTGTGCACGGTGGCCACCGTTGCACGGCTGGCATGAAACGTGGACTTCGGCAGGGTTGTGGCATAGCCCCAGTCATTTACGCTTGCTGGACCGTCAGACTTTGCCGGCTAATCAATCGGGCTGTACAACAAGGCTGGGCGCAAAAACACTCATCGATATACGCAGACGATAAACACTACTACTGGGAGATTGCCTCCGAAAAAGACATGGAGAAGGCGATTGAGCAACTCAAAATCGTCATTGCCCTTATCCATTCAATGGGGATGCAAATCAACTTCCAGAAGTCTGTTGCGGTTCTTGCGCTCAAAGGTTACATGGTCAAGGCAGTACTGCAGAAATACACCCAATGGCGCTACGGTGTTAAGAACCTGAGGCTTCGCATGGAAACGAATGACATCTACATCCCCATCGAGGCCCAAATGCAGTACTTGGGGGCAGTCCTGAGCTACACCAATTTCGAGCAGCAGACTGCTGACCTGAGAGTTCGTCAGGCCCAGAACAACTTCGCGCAACTGCGAAAAGTACTACGCACCATCGGAGGCCTCAGCACAGCCCGGCGCCTCAGTATATACAGGATGTGCGTGTGGACAGCTCTTCTATACGGCATTGCCTCCATAGGCATCACGGCCTCAGTGTGCAGAACACTACAATCAGCGGCAGCCATGCATCTTCGCAAGATTCTGAGAATTCACAAGAAAGGGCATTCGAATGAAGCGGTACTCACCCAGGCCAAGCTGGAGCTACTTCCACATCTTCAACGAGGCGTAGCGCAACAAGCTCGCTCTATTGCTAATGATGCTCAGCGCTCAACAACGCTAAGATGGCAGGAAGCGGACCGCAACAAACAGATTCAGGAGCAAGTGGACATCATTCAATGCCAAGGTCTCAGCCAAGTCTTGGTACAGATACCAGAAGTGGAGGTTAGGCAAATTGCGTGCACGCTATGTGGTCAGATCTTTCCAACGGCAGCAGGCCTACATTTACATCAACACGTACATCAACGTCATCCGGAGATCGAACAGGCGGCGAGCATGGATTTCCGCAGAGACAAACATAGTTTGTTTGGCCTACCACACTGCAGGTTCTGTCATCATCGTCTTGGCTCCTGGCAGATGCTCACGAAACACATTACGCAAGGCATGTGTCTCAGAGTTAAGCTCGCTCTGGGCAAAGGACAAACAATTGCACAGCTCACGAATGAGATCGAACTTGAGGAGCAGTACTGCCCACCAGAACGACCTCAAGGAGACTCTGGCGATGCCCACAGCGTCAAGATCCCAGAGGAGCTTAAACAACTTGTTCTAGCTACCCCTCTACGTGAACTTCATTTGCATGGCAAGGTGTGGAGCTCCCGAGCCTCACAATGCTGGCTCTGCGGGCAGAGGCTCTTGCAAGCATCGAGAATTAAAACTCATTGGCAGTCATCGCACCAGGAAATCTGGCGCCGCTGCCGACTACATGCCAACACAGAGGCGGCGAGTCTTTCCTCGCTCTTCAGGCGGCCATGTGCTTTCTGCAAGAGTCAAGCCCGAGATGTCAAACAGCATGCCAGCAAGTGTCCAGTTATGTTCCAGATACTTTCATTGAGGTGGCTTCAGACTCAAGACTCTATCGAGGAACTGGACCCGGGCCACAAGCCCAAGGCGCGAAAACAGAAGGCGGAACCACCAGCGTACCAAAGTTTCGTTTCTCCTCTCATGGTGGCCTTTGCCAAAGGCAGCAGTGGCGCAGGCGCGCACCACCGGATCGCTCCCACCCCGTCGGCGCAACCCCAGGCAGATGTACACCACAACCACACAGCGATGATGCCTCCCATCCGCAAGGTCAAGGACTTCATCAAGGTCAAAACGGGCAGTATCAAGGACTACCTGCATCCGAAACACACTCAGCCAGAGCCAAGCCTCACATCAACGCAGGCCACCCTGAACTGCAGACTTCGCCTAAGAAATCCCCACAACCTCTGCTATGTCAACGCCAGCATCTTGATGCTTTTGCACAGCATGGAGCGGATGAACCTTGATGTGCCGGCAATGAAATTGCTTACCAAGGTGTGTACGTTGGCGGTGTCCCGAGGCCAAGATGTGCTGCTCACTCAGATGAACCAGTTCCGCATGCTCAGTCCCCGCTGGGAGTTTAGCTCGGAACAGAAGGATGCCTCTGAGTACCTCCATGCCATCTTCGACAAAGCTGAGGACTTGCAGGTCATTTGGGACAGTCGCACCATACTCAATGATATGCCGCACATTGCAACACAAGGATCACATCTGGTGGCAATGCCACTTCCCCCACGGCCTTCTAGGCGGGTAACGTTGACTGATGTAGTTCAACTATGGCACGTCCAGAATGACTCAGCAGCCTTCGTGCACGAGTACCCCCTGATTTGCATACAAATTAACAGGTACCTCGAGAACCGCAAGGACACCAGCGCCGTAGAGATCCCAGATAGCATTGCGCTTCCATTTCATGCTTCTGACCGTCGCATCGAGTGGAAGGAGTACTGGATATGCAGTGCAGCCTTACACCTAGGCAGCACTCCTTTTCGTGGCCATTACCGCGCACTCCTTCGGGTTGGGGCCTCGTGGTGTCTGACAGATGATGGCAAAGCCGCAGAGTTCATCACGCTGCACGATGGGCACCGCAGAAATGTCTACCTGGTTATGGTTCAGTCGAAACCGCTAGAAAACTCCCAAGCGGGTCTAGCGGTCGAGCCACACTCCTGCTGACACAGCTGCCCAAGCCTCCCCCTCAGCCCTAGCCGGTGCCCAAGAATATGGCTTTCTCGGCACCACCCACGGCTCCAGATGAGGATATGAAATCCACGGAAGTTTTGGAGCAGGGCTTCTTTGATCGATACTGGCCTGCCGTTGCCGGGCGCGCCGCAGCTGACTCCAGTCAGCTCTCGACTGCCCCTCCATCGGAGGAACCCGAGGGCAGCTACGATGATCGACAGAAGAAGGCTCCCAAGTACGACTGGGGCAAGGGACAAGGCTACGGCCAAGGGGCCGGACGCCGAGGAGGCAAACGCCAAGCAGCGGAGACAACCACATGGAGGCGCTCGACGGACCAGGAATGGGATCCCTGGGCTTCGCACGACAGCAAAACGAAGAAGGACCTCGAAAAAGAGATCAAGCAACTCCGGGAGGATCTCTTTTCTATGCAGAAGTTAATCCTCAGACACGAGGATTTTCTTGCTGGACTTCGTGCAGAGCTCACTTGGGTGATGTTCATGAAACTGGACATGAAAGCACCGGCATTGTTCACAATGCAACAAAAGTGGCGCGAGTTGAAAGCGAAGTCTCCTGAGATGCTCAAGCAACCAATGAGAATCGATCTCATGAGGGCTCTCTTTAAAGAGCTATCGGCCAGGCTGACAGCGTTGCCGGAGTCCGAGGAGTTTCAGACCGTGCTGAAGAATCTGGGATGGTACGAGCCGGAGACGCGGGATTGGTCCTATGTTCGGTGGGACCCATCCAACGAACGATTGGTCCCAGATCGCGAACGAGAGACCGTGGCCTACGAGAAACTTGCAGCTGTCTTCGAGGCCATGCAGACCCTGACAGCCATCCCAGGCGCAGTCATGCGGTTCCACCCCAACAGGGACCTCACTGAGAAGATGACGGGACACGTCCTCATGTTTAGCCTGCAGCTCTGCATTCATGGTGACGCCAGCCGGCAAATCCGCGAGCACCTGGCCCTACTTACTGGCCTTAGCGTCACCCAGTTGGTGGGAATGTCGCTCCGCCCGGAGCGCCCAGTGCGCTCGAATCTGGCAAACACGGTGCAGAAGGAGATCCAGGCCTACTACGGCTAGTCATTGCTGCTTACAGGGACTATCGGTCCGGGCAGTGACTTCCTCAAAATGGCGGCTCCATCTGAGGATATCAATGGCGAACTTTCAAAACCAGTCTTAGCGATGTCTACGACACAAGCATCAAGTCTTTTGATCTTCAATTAAAGATGGACTGCTCCTCCGGGGCAGCGGAGACGCGCAAGACGTTACATGCAGCCATCTGATGCAAAAACTCAAACATCGGAGACGCTGCCTTGCAGTTCCTGTCGCACTACATCCCTGTGCACCCAAAGCCCGCTTGCTGAGGCAATCTTCTACATCCACCTGGCGACGCTGATGAGCCCGAACAGGGCGCCCCGATCTGGCTGTGACCTAGTGGCCCACGCATTCTTCCAGAGAGCTCGTGCTGATGTTGGTGCAGTGGGCAACATGGCTCTTTGTCATGTATCTTCCCGGCGTTGGTTTACCATAGGACTTTGGGCTCATAACATGTCCTCCACGCCAACCTGGAACAGGCGACTGCAAGCCTCAGGCTGCACTCAGATAGACCTGGACGCCTCATGTGACGAGGGCTCCCCGGCCCGCCAGGCCCCGCTGACCCTGTTGACTCTGAAAACCATCTTCAGGTCGATGCATCAGCAGGGGTAGGTTCTGAAGCACAACGAGATCGCAGCCGGAGCAGGGATCATGTCATACACTGGCAGGCCGTCACGACAACCTACAGACAGCTTTCCTTTGGTGAAATCCTTGCAAGGCAAGCAATAACGCCGACAGCCCCAGCCATTCCAACTGGCGCACGCGCGCAAGATCAGAATGCTGAGCCTGATGAGCGCATCATTTCAGTTGTGAGCACACCCATAGATGCACAGATGATGCTGGCATTGACTTTGATCCGCCAAGCAATGCCTACGATACCAACCCCATAAATCCCCCGGATGCTTTGGCATGTTCGTGGCTTATGTCAGGAAGGGTGACTTTCCAGCAATTGCGGCGGTTGTTTGACATGCTTCCAACTATGACGGTGAAGCGACATCAGTCGCCACACATCACTACCACGACGGCGGCCAGAGCAATTCACTTTGGTGCTTGGGTACATGGGGGCAATATCGGGGTCACGGCATGCTGTGCACAATTCCCGAATGTTATCAAGCTGTTTTGTCGACTTCTTCATACGCTTCATCCTCAAGGATTATACAGCACAGTGTTCTTGGCATTGAATGTTCCCTCTGGCATACATGCTGATCCACATAATCATGCTGAAGTAGAAAACACGCTGGTGCCCCTCAGCTGCTTTACAGGTGGCGAACTGTTTGTGGCTGAAAAGCACGGCTCCTTCAGACTTGATTGCGAAGGGCTTGTTGGCAGCATCAAGCCCATCACGCTGCCCTACACTTCCTTCTGGGCGAGGAGAAAGCATGCTGTCTTACCATGGCAGGGAAATCGCTTTCTGCTGGGAGCTTATCATGTTCGGAACTCAGAGTGGCTGAAGGATTCCGACAGAGGACGCCTTGTTGAACTGGGCATGAAGCTTTTGTAGCGGATGAACAGCTTTTTCATTGTCATTATACGTACAATGGCTTGCAGGGGACGAGCAAGACAGTGCGGCAAAGTGCAAAAGAGCTCCAGAGATAACTGCAACGGCGATGACGAGGATCTAAAGCCGCTTAGCATGCTGGGATCACCTTCCTCCCCAGGTACAACTCTGAACAATGGCACGGCTGAGTTGTGCCGCCACTGAGAGGATGTGACCTCCTGCATTCGCTCATGCTGAGCAGAGTCGATGTACAATAAGATGACGCCACTTCTTGGCTGTATAGGCGCTGTCTTATACTCTGTAAAGCATGCTTTCCTACCTTTCCACAATGGTCTTTTCATGCTTTCCCTAATTCCTCACTGCTTAAAGGGGCTACTGTACCGGCCCGGGTGAGGCGCTGCACGTTTTTGTGTTAATGATAAGGTGCGAAACACGCACATTGAGCAGAGGTGCTCGCTTTGCTGCCTTGTCTTAGACAAGATGACATACATAGCCACGCAGGGACGCCTTCGGACGTTTGCGCAATGAAGAAGAAGAAGTAGTAGTAGTAGTAGTAGCAGTAGCAGGAGGAGTAGTAGCAGTAGCAGTAGTAGTAGTAGTAGTAGTAGTAGTAGTAGGAGTAGCCGTAGCACCAGTAGTAGTAGAAGTAGGAGTCGTCGTCGTCGTCGTAGTAGTAGTAGAGGCAGCAGTAGCAGGCCTGCTGCCGCTCGGCTGTTGTCGAATGCCATGAGACTTCAACAGTGGTTGCAGCTGCTTGCAGTATCCGTAACGGACAAGCCTTGCATGACATGAGCTTTGGAGGCTCTGGTGTGCCTATGAAGCCTACGAAGCACACGAGCTCGGCAAGTTTATCCTCGTTGCCTCTGCGCCCGACGGCGGCCGATTGTATTCTGCTGTTGCCTGCACAACGCTGGCAGGACAGGTGCTAGTAGCGGTTGTCATCCTTTCTGCGACAATGTTGTTCGAGCCGCCAGGGACAACAAGACTTCCCCAAGTTCATCGCACTTTGTTTACTTTGACAACCATGGTGCACGTTGCTCTAGTGGATAATGTTGTGCGATGGAACGATGGCACCCAACTCCGGAACTCTGGTGCTCGTTGCTCTTGTGGGCAACACTGGGTCATGAAATCTTGGAGCCTAGATTGTAGGTTATGCAATTGGGGTTTGCGTGGTGTCGTGTTCGGGGCCGCGGCATCGTTTAGATCTGCTCCAGCTTCAACAATTTCAGATGCCGTGACATCCTACTCTCTTCTCGCGCTGTTTTGCACCCCCCCAATGCTGTTTCGGTGGCAGGACTGGCTGGTATGTTCGTGGGAATCACCCTGAAAAGCTGGCTGCATCATGGGCTGCTCTGATTTTAGAGTTTGGGGGTTGAGGGTCTAGTGTTTCATGGGTGTCCTGCTGTTCAGGGCGTAGGCTGCGAGGGACTCATCTCTGTGGCGCGTCCTTTCGCCTCCTTGGCATTTGTCTACTTATCGGATTGTGGAGCGGGGTGGGAGTCCTTAAGCCCAAAAGCCTAAACCCCTAAAGCCAGGATTGTCCGAATGTGAGTGTCAAAAAAACCCTAAATCAACGAGCACGTAAGCATGGCCTCCAGAAAACAGCACGGCATTACAAAGGGGGTTGGAGAGACCAGTCCCCGAGTTGACCAAGGCTGGTGGCGATCGCCTTCTTTTGTGTAATGGTAGTGCCACAAGGTGGCACTTTGTAGGATTTTCCTTATGGCCTTCAGAGGTGCCTAGTCATACATACTTTCCTTTGCCCCAAAGCTTCAAAAAAGGTCAGCGTGTGCCAGCTCACTTCTCCAAGACACGAACTTCCGCGTTGCCGTGAATCGGATTGGATCCTTCTCGGGCAGCCTTTTGGTAATATGCTGGCGAACCATCCATGGACAGCAGGACTGGGCTCGCTTTCTGTGCTGTTTAGTGCGAAGACCTCAACCTGAGGAAAGTGTCGTACTCTCAGAGCGTCGTTGCAGGGATCAACGCCTACGCATGCTCCCTCCAGAAGATTCCAAAAGCTTCACGCGGCCCTGCACCCCGCACCCTGAAAGCCTGAAACCTTAAGCCCTAAACTCCCAAATTAAAGCCTAAACCCTAAACCCTAAACCGGAACCCTGAAACCTGAAACCCTAAACTCCCTAATTAAACCCGAAACCCTAGATGCCTTGCCTGGACATCCTGGATGCAATGACACCCAGACACTAAACCCTAAAAGCCTAAAGCCCGGAACTACTTGAACAGTAAGCACCGTACACCCTGAGAAGCCCTCAACACCCCAAAACCCGAAAACCCTAAAGACCCCGAAACCCTACAACCCTAGACATTCTAAACTCTAAAGACCCCTAAACCCTAAAGCTCTAAAAATCCTAAACCCTAAAGCCCTGAACATCCTAAATCCCAAAGAGCCCTCAACGGAGGACCTTCCCGGAATTGCGGCCTATGAACCAAGACTGCGGCAGCATTTGTTTTTCCTGGCGGCGGCCGTCTTCTTTGGTGTGATGGAGGTGACCCCCAGCATGAGGGTTTAGGGAATAGGGTTCAGGTGTTTAGAGTTTAGGGTTTCGGGTTTAGGGGTTGGTTTAGGGTTTAGGGTTACTCGAAACCCTAAGCTCTAAGCCCTAAACCCTAAACCCTAAACCAACCCTAAATTCTAAACCCTAAACTCTAAACCCTAAGCCCTGAACTCTCAACCTTAAGCCCTAAAAACTTCCTAAACGCGAAGCTAACCCTCGAGCCTCCTTTCACCCTCGCCCTTCGGTCGGAGCGTCTCCACCCCTCTCATCCCTTGAGCCCTCATTGCCACAGGGAGCTTAGCGATGACAAGCGTACTCCTTCAGGGTTCTTTTTTAACTTTGTACTCAGAACAGAATATATATATATATATATGATCCCGGTTCGGCCGGCCCCCCCCCCCCTCCCCCCCCCCAATGGTTCCGCCTCCCCCTCCCTGTGGTGTGGTGTGGTTGCGGGTTGCTTCCCCCTCCCTGTGGTGGTGTCTTGTGGTTGGGGAGTGGGTCTGCTTAGGCTGGTTCCCCCACTCCCCCCTGTGGTGTGGTGTGGGTTTGGGTTTCCTGCGTGGGTCTGCTTGGCGTGTGAGCCCTCGTGTGGAAAAAAGCGTGCACAGTCACACAGATTCG